CCATACATATGGTTTATTCTGTTACTATACCTTTGCTTCCACAGGAACACTTATGAAAATGAATTGGTGATACCAAATGATATACATCATGACAGGAATATAAGGAGTAATATTTGTGACATATTTCTCTTCTGATGAGCCAAATAATTTATTTGGCCATCATACGCTACCAAAATAGACTTACAGAGAGCTTGTTTAGATACAAAGATGTGGCTATAAAAGCACTGACTAACTGTGTAAGAAATGCAGATGCGTGTATTTTCTTTAAACTTGGATTGCATGTACTGAAAACTTAGGCCTTTTTTGAAGCCATGGATATCATAAACTAAGACCACTGGGGGATGCCCTGATCACATTCTTAGCAGAAGAAGCAGTACCAATAGCTCACAAATATTATGTGTATGTTCTCAATTCCTACTCTGCTTGCCAGACAGTGCCCAACAGAAAATCTTAAATACAAAATTTAAGTGCAACAAATCATCAATCTGATTTTTCCTATACGTATTTAAAAAATAAAGATACCAAAGCAAGAAGAGGAAGAGGAATTTGCTAAAACTTTACAGTGAGTCTGTGGTGATTACAAAATTCAAACCCAAAGGCATTGACATTCAGAGGAAATGATCTTAAATATTATTTTATGAAGTAATGAGATAACATTTTAAAGTCAGATAGATTCTCTCACCAATGCCAGGAGAAATCACATTTTTTAGTATTGATTGTTGTCTAATAAACAATCAATTTATTTTATATTTATAAATTTGAGAGTATAAAATGTATAGAAATGCATCATTATACATCTATCTCAGGCCTCCTAGTAAATACTCAAGAGTAAATTTGCAAACTGACCCTGAAATCCTACCTCTAAGTTATGATACACTTTTCATGGCTTTAAGCATAAAGCTTCCTCAAGGTCTCAGAGGATAAAACAGGAGCACTAAAGAAAATAAAGTGTCTAAGCAACCTACTTGAAACGGCTTTTAGAAAAGCAGTTAAGCATGGGACACAATTTAGATTTTCCAGATTGAATCTATAATTTAGATACCAACCCTTGTCATTTCCAATCGTTGTCACTGTTGAGCATTGTGGATTCTAGCTATCATAAATATATGTAGCCTGTCTGCACAATCATTTTTCCAATGGCCCCATAAAATTGCTCCAAAGGAAAAAAAGTTGATTTTTTTTTTACAGTTCAGATTGGAAGGCTCTTGAAAACAAAGAGAAAATGATTTGAACATAGGCTCTAGATCATCTGGACATATGACCTGGTAGATAAGATATTAAGACAAAAGCCATCTCAAGTATTCGAGGAAGTAAGGAAGCCTACAAAATGTACAGCATCTACTGATATTTTCTTATTTACAAAGTCTTACCTCCTAACACAAACTTTTCTGTGAAAAACTACCCTGGGTGGAATACAACAATCCTTACCCTCTTTCCTCTAAGAATACTTTTTTGTAGCATTTTTAGCAATTTTTCAATAACAAACAATAGAAAATATATTATTTCAGTTCTGTGTTTGGACAGGGATTCAGGTTTGACTTGGAAACACCCAAAATATGGTGCTGAGAAGGTGTAATGATGGTGGGATTGGTGTTTAAATAATAAATGTAATGAAATATAGTCAACTTCTTCATAAAATAAAAAAGTTACAAAACTATTCTTTGCTATTCCAAACAATAAGAAACATTAGCTGTATTGTTTTATCAGTTTCATTATGCTTTCTAAGCACTTTAACTTACTTGTTATACCATTTCCATGAGAAAGAAAGTAAGTAGAATCTCAACTCCCATTTCTGAGATGAGTAAATAAAGGCACAGATGGAATTTATAAATCACACTAAATTACAGTTCTTAATAATCATAACTAACATAAGTCAGATATTTGAGTAATTTGAGTAATTTCCAGTTCACCATTAAATGATAAAATATGCCCATTTAATAATAATGAAAGACCAATGTGTTAATTAAATGATAATTGTTTCATTTCTCAGTTATTTTCAGCATATGTAAAGCTCTATAGTTGATTATTTTCATGCAGGACACTAAATAAAATAAATAACTTAAAATTTATTCAAGTAATATTTTAATGGAGTGCTTACTATCTACCAGGCTGGGATAGATACATAGGAAACTAAACACTTATTCTTCAGCATGATGCTCGACTTACCATTCAATATTCCTAACCATAAGGTCAGCCAGCTATGAGTAGCTATTTTTCAGAAAATTAATTGGTTATGTAAAAGTTAAAGAAACAATCAATATCTAATGGTACAATACGTAAATCAATACTTAGGTTCTGATAGCACAAGGGATTTATGATACTCTAGCTTCAGTGTGAGGACAATCTTGTTAAGGTAACAAGAAACACATTAAAAGGTAATAAGTAATCTAAGATCACATATAATAGGTAACAAATGAGATATAGAACCACCAACTGCTAAAGAAATTCAGTTGAATGTGGGTGCTTCAATTAAGAAAGATATTTGCTCAGGAAGGTTAGTGCTGTGGTAGTCTTTTATAGAAAATTAAGGGTTTAGATCAGCAGGAAGTTTGAAGAAAAATAATTTCCAAAGAGAGGAGATAAGGGAAAGCAAAGGCCAAAGGAGCAGATGCAAATGACTGTTCAAAAGAAAATGAACAGATACCTGAAGTGCAAGGTGGATGAGCAGCACTGTAAAAATAATGCAAACACAGATTGCAAAAATATTTGATTGTGAAATTAAAACCAAGGGTCAAGAGAAGAAATTCATGTCTTTTGAACTGCATGTGAAATATGTTGTGTGTACATATTTTGTTTATACAATCCTCCAACAATCTTGGAGAGTAGAAAGGTCTGTATATCATGTTAAATTTAAATAAGAAGAAATAGATTGTGGGGCATGTCTTCCATAAGTGCACGAGAAGAAGAAATTTTAATCAGATCTCTTAACATCCAAGTGCTGTATTCCTTTCATTATCTCTCATGCTGCTTTCTGATCAAGAAAATAAGTTACTAAAAAATTTCATTAAGAAAGTGACATAGGAAGTATTGTAAAACTGAAGGAAGTAGAATCTGAGAGATATCAGTAAATGTCCAATTTTAGAGAAAAAATTACACCAGAACACTGAATAAGAAGAGCTGCATTATCTTTTGTATCAACCCCAGTACTAGGGTGACAAGTATCTATTTCTGAGTACTGACAATGGATGTGGGATGGAAAAGATATTACAAAAGAAACAAAAAGAGATAAAAGTTAATAGCATATCCTGCAACAGGTATACCGCCTACCCTAGTTCGCATCCATGGTCAGAATATCTCTCTAAAAACCTCAGAGAAAAACTCATAGCCTAATCTGAATATTAAGATTTGGGGCAGTATATTGTTTGTTCAAAAATAATAAGATCAATAGTTCAGAAACCGGCTTCAGTGCAATCTACTTCTTAAAGTATTATTACAGACGTTTTATGCTAAGTATATTTGGCTTCTATAAATTGTTTCATACTTTATTGTTATACACGTTTACATAGGAATTGCATATATTCATGCTCATTTGATATATTAGTTGCTAAGGCAAAAACATTTTCATTTGAGTTGACCTTTTATAAAACTAAGTACATACTAAACAACAGAATTATCTTTGAGAAAAACATGTGATGATTCTTCCCGGGAATCTTTTTCCCACAGGCAAGGTAACACACAAGATTGAAATAGAAAATAGTAACAAACATATAGCATATAATTTAACAGGATGAACCTTTTCTGATTTTTTCTACTCTTGAAAAATCCCAACTATACAATTGCCAAATATATACAAAAATGATGATTGCCTAAATTTCTTCAATAAGATAAATATCCAGGCATTTGGAATTAATATATTAAGATGCACATACATTCAAGTACCTTAATAATGCAAAATTACTAAACTCATAATATCTTTAATAAAACAAATAAATCTTTAATATCTAGAGTTGAACAAATGTCATTTTGATTGTTAAACTTAGCATCGCAGTAAGTGTAACATACACATGAAACTATGTATAAGTGTATGCAGTTAATGCATACATACATACTCATGTTAGAATTGGTGAGCAACAATATTTTCTGTTTGTTTTGTTTTGGAGTCACACCTGCGGTACTCAGGGCTACTCCTGGCTTTGTGTTCAGGGATCACTCCTAGTGGGGCTCAGGGAACTATACAAGGTGTCGGGGATCAAACTCAGGTGAGCCATGTACAAGGCAACAGTCCTGCTGCTGTACTGTCCTTCAAGCCCCTGATAGCAACAATATTTTGACTCAAAATATTTTTATAAGTTACGCACCTACCCTAATTTCACCAAATCTGCTTGGAATCATTTAATTATACTAAAGCATAACTTTTAAAAAACTGACATATTTTGGAAACCTAGTTTCCTTCACCTTTATGAATAAAGTTAGACATACTTTTCTGAGCTTAGATTAATGCTCATATTTGAAACCAAAGTGTCAGTCAGTAAGTTTTAACAAGTCTAAGGGGGGTTTCAAAGTTTCAAGAGTAACAATCCTATGCTATATTTTATAAATGTCACAAGTATGTGTAAAGAAATGTCACAGAATCAAATAGTACGTTTGTTGAAATACAACCCAAATATTTATTTGTTCTTATTTCTTTTTGCTCATTTCTTCATATTTGTACTTAGGTAAATATAGACATCTACAGAAAGCGAACCACAATAGCATATCTACCAAAATAATGTTCTTTAGCATTCTTAAGTTTCAAAAATTTATTCATTATAAGTAAACCAACTAAAAGTTCTATTCATGAAGGAACTCTGGCCTCTACAGAACTTTCTGTAAAAGATAAATCAAATATATTATGTGTGTATAAACAAAATCACATCTGTTTTCTTTGCATTTTACTTTTTATTATCTATGACTAAAATATAAGACAATATGCCTACATATAAGTTGTATTAAAAACTGAGTATTAAACTTTTCTGGTAATGACATTATTTTGTATGAGATAAAAAAAAGGGGGGGCAAACCTTTTTTACCTCCCAGTCCTGGTCTAAGCCGATTATCGTAACCATCGAGAAGTCTGTCTAGAATTCTTGTAAAGATGGTGATGTTATTTTTAGCCTCATCTTCTTGGATGTTAGCCAGCACCAACCTAAACAGATAATTTTACAAGCTGATACATATATATGTATATATATATATACACATATGTGTTTCATAAGTGCCAACTTGTTCTTCTTCCTTGATTTGAATTTTAAATTTCCCTAAGATATTAGTGCTAACCATCCCCCCCTTTAACTTTTAAAAATACAAGGATATCTATACAAGGTAGACACGCTGTTAAAAAACTAAATTATAAGAAAGTTTGATGTCAAAATCATTTCTGATTTCTACCACTTAGCATTCCATGTAGAGTACTCATTCTTTTTCTAAATCCCATTCCTCAGAATATATATATACTGATTTCAAATTAGCAATTCCAAGAACTATTAGTAAGGTTATACTTTATTTGGGAAGTTAAATTAACCAAAGGAATATACCTGAAATTATTGTCCGATTTTAATATTAATTAGAAAATAAGCTGCCTCCTCACAGGCATAAAATGTGTTTTTTTCTCATAAATATCTTACTTTTTCTCTGTCTTTTCCTCTTATAAACCAAGATTCTTTCCTTGCTTTGAATATACCTCCACCCAATGGCCAAGTGCAATACAAACATCAGGGAAACTCCACTGGCTAGCTTCCAGGATCCACTGTAACCAGGAGGTGTGCGTGTGTGTATGTGTGTGTGGGGGGGGAAGGGCTCAAGACCAGCAGCAGTATCTCTAAGAGAACCTTGGAGGGGTGCCCTTCAAAGAAGCCTCTATGAGAGTGTTGGGTCTAAGAAACTAAGATTTGTCTCCTAAAATGCCAAGCTACCCTGTGTGTGTGCATGCATGAGCATGAGTGTGTATGTGTGTGTGTGTGTATGTGTGTGTATGTGTGTGTATGATTAAATCTGCAGAAAGAATAAATGGTTTAAAATGCCACCAGAAAAGAGATAAAAATAGTGATTTTTCTGGATTATTTATCAGAAAGCCAAGACCTAATTTTGTGACATCCAGCAATTTGATGCAGTAGCAACCAGATGTATAAAAGAGTGTCTGTCTACACTGCAATTTTTTCTCCAGAATGATTCAGAGATTTAAATTACTGGTCATACAAAAGAATCCATTTATATTATAGAAAAAACTATGGCATGGATATTACTAATCAAATATTGATAAAATACTATTAAGAGGAAACATACTTGATCAATGAAGATATTTAGTGGTCATTAAATGGTAATTATTCATGTCTTTCAAATAAAAGATAATATATAATTGCAACCAGGTGTATTGCATATCAATAACAGAATCTATTTGCATTTTAAAATACACAGTGACTAAAAATAGCCATAAAACATAAAAAAAACTGATGGTCAACTTAAACATGAGAAGAAAAAAATGTTAAGACACTGATATGGAAACAATCATTTAAGATGTATGTTAACAAATATTCACCAGAACTTTCTCTAATACTGTTGCTTGACTGTAAGCTAATTCATACAGAGATCTTCATTCAAAAGTATTTTTTATCACATTAGTCACTTGGGCTCAATATTAAGACATTAAGTAAGGAGATAATTTCCAATTGAGAATAAGTCTTTATGAAAAGGTATCTTCGTAATTCTCAAAAATATTTTCTTTCTATAGCCAATGCTTAGATAATAAAGTGACAGATAAAAAGGAAAATAAATTTTGTATTTTAGTTCCCCTGGCATTTTAAAAAGCCAGATTAAATAAAAGATTCTATTCTACTGGAAAAAAATAAGAATATTCCACAGCCAAGATGAAGTTAATGAAAGCAATAAAAATGAATTTCATGGTTGTAGAACATAAGGATAGCAAAATTAGTTGCATGTTTAAGATGAGCATCATTTATGGCAGCAGTCAATTTAGGAATAAAATATTACTCAGTCAATAATGTGAAGTGTTGATTAATAAATCAAGCTTTTGTTTTAATTTTTGTGACTGAAGTTGTGTACTACCTCCACCTAGAGGTCTAACACACATCTTTTGGGTTTTCTAGGTTGACTAACAGAGTCAAGATTTAAAAAGAAACTGAAAAAATTAAGTTCACACTCATCACGTTAGCATGTGCTCATCTGTGTGGGATAAAGAAAAAGTGTTAGTTTCTTCACTGAATTTTGGTGTTACTATAAAGGTATGTAACTTAACCACTTCAGTTCTTTGTAACATGTCATTCAAAGACTATTTTTTTCCTTAGGGTACTTTTTCTTTCTTTATTTTTTAAGAATATTACTGTTCATCTGTTCACTTTTGTACTTAATAGCTGAAAGCAAGAAACTAAACTTTTTCCAGTGTGTGCCACTTCCTAGTTCAGATCTCTGAAACAAACTGTATTCCCTCAGAAGGAATTCCTCAAAACATCTGCACTTCTGAAAGACACCTCTGCAGTGATGGTATGCAAGACACCTTTATGCTAAATTAAGAGAGAAAGATGCAATAAATATCTCACCTGGCTGGATTCCACACCAAGAAAATCAAAAGTAGTAACTGCATTTTGTGGATGCTCAATTTCGTCTTCATAATTTCTTTTTGTAAAGCCATGCAAGGAAAATAAAATACACTTAAAACTGCATTCAACCCCACCATCCAAAAATTTCAAACAATGTCATTCTGATTAGGAATCAGAGGCAGAGCTAAGAACATTATTCCAGTGAAGTGAGTGAATGAGTGTAGGGTTTAATGATGGGGGCAGGATTTCCCCCACCCCACCCCCAATACTATTCTTTCCAGGGCTTGAGAAGCAAGTATTTGCCTTGCGTAAACTGCCCCCAGCTCCATCGTCAACACAGTTAAGGGTTCGAACACACATGTAATCACAGCACATGGGAACCCCGAAAAGACATCTCAGCTGGAGAAGAGGATGGGTTTGAAGGGATGAAATGAAAAACAGGGGAGGGGAGATGGGTTACTTGGTGCCATAATGCCCCCAACCACGACCACCACCTCTGCAACCCCAGTAGGAAAAGCCAGGAGCAGGCCGCCCACTTTCCCGACGAAGATCCTTCTCATCCCCAAGAATTGCAGTCCGCAAGTCTTCACTCTCTCTAAAAGGAAAAGAAATTAAAGAATCCCCCTCCCTGCTGGGCCTCCGGGGCCAAAGGACCACATCTCCGAGGCAGCCGGGGCTGCGATCAAACGCTGCGAAACGACGCGTGTGACCCTCGTTTGGGGGACCCAGGACCCCGAAGGCAGCGGGGAGCAGGAGGCTCGGGGACCCGCACCCGGCAGGCTGTCAGGCAGGCAGCGGCGGCCGCACGTTGTGCAAAGTTGAAGAGTCTAAGAGAGCCCGGCGAGGCGGGCAGCGCCGCGCATCATCTGCGACTTGAACGGAGGCTGCTGGGGCTGAGTGTCGAGATGATTTCGGAAATGTGCTGGGAAGGGTGGGTGAGCACGGAGATAGATGCCTTATTCCCCGCCAATGTGCTGGGGAGACAGGGGGCGAGCTGAGCCTGCCTTAGGCTGCCAGGGAGCACGGGGGAGTCGAGTGGCGGGGATGGAGGTGGAGTTGGGGGGGGGGGCGCGAGATGATGCTTGGCCCGGGGGTAAAAGGCAAACGGGAGCAGGTCCCGGTGCCGCGGGAGGCGGGGGGGGGGGGGGGGGGTACCAACCAACACTGAGATGCTCACCTGAAACAGCGAGGCGGAATCGGGAGGTTTCTTCCCTTGGCTCTGATCTTGGGAAGAGAGGGGAAGAGAGGAAGTTGGGAGAGGGAGAGAGAGAAAAGAAGACAGAGACAGACAGACAGACAGAAAGAGAGAGAGAGAGAGAGAGAGAGAGAGAGAGAGAGAGAGAGAGAGAGAGAGAGAGAGAGAGAGAGAGAGAGAGAGAGCGTTTGCTGCCGCAGCCGAGCGAGGAGCAAAGAGCTAGCTGGAGGGAAGCCGGGGGAGCGGCGGCTGCGAGGAGTGGCGGGAGGCGAAGGCGTCCGTAGTGGCGGCGAGGGCGGAGGAGGAAGAGGAGGGAGACGCGTGGGTAGCCGCGGGCGGGGTAGGGGAGGTGGGGGGTGGGCGGGGGAGGACGCCGGGCTGGCGAGGCGCGGAGCGCGCAGGCTTTGGCGGGCACGAGCCTCACGCCTGGAGGAGGAGGAGGAGGAGGAGGAAGGAGGAGGAGGAGGGGGAGGAGGTGGTGGTGGAGGAGGAGCCAGGCCCGGGAGGAGGGTGGAAGAGGTTCCCGGGAGCAGGGACCCCCGCCCGGAGCCGCCGCGCCCACTGGACCGCCCCTCTCCAGCCCGGCACCTGCAGCGGGCCCCGCACCGGGCCGCAAAGAGCGCCCCCAAGCGGCCGGATCGCCGCCTCCCGCGCCCACGCCGCGCCGGGGGAACCGCCGGGGCTCGACGTTCCTAGAGCGGGGTGACAGCGGGGCACCGGGGCGGGCGGGGGTGTGTTCGTGTCAAGTCTGGAGAACGACGCGTCGGCACCTGCCTGAAATCTCCGGGGGCCGCGCCCCGCCGCCCGGCCCGCAGCATCTCGAGGCGCCCCCGAGACGCGAGGCTGCGAGCAGAGAGGTAAAGAGAAGGTGCCGCTCCCGCCGCGGGGCCGGGGGGTACCCAGCACGCCTCCACTTAGTCATCAGCGTATTCACGCACGACCCAGTGCCACGCGTGTCGCATGAAATCAAACCGCAGGAAGTTTCTCTACTCTGCCACGCTCATTCCTACGCATCTTGCAGTCAGGACCAGTTTCCCCTCAAAGCCTGGATGCTGGAGCAGGTCAATAAAATCCTTTTGTGGGTGGTACATCTGGAGAAACCTGCTGCTCACTCCCAGCAGTTCCCCCTCCCCGCACCCCTCCCCCCCCAAATCTCAGAGGTTCTTTGGACCAGGACACTGAACTTTATCAATACATCGCTAACAAAGTTTACATTCCCCTGGAGCTACGGGAGCACCTGCTGTAGCACCCCGTTCTGCAATTCTTTACCTGAAGGTTTCCGGGGAATGGGGGCAGTATAGCCAGATTTGAGCCCTTTACAGCTTTTTTTACTGGCCGAGACCTGTTGTAATTCTAGACCCGTGGCATGGTTTGAGCTTTGTGCGTTTGATCTGTCTCCTCTCTTCTCTTTATTTGATGTAATAAAACCCAAGCGTGCAACTTGAATGGGGGTGGGAGGGAGGAGAGAGAGAATGGGATGTATTCTTTTTCGTACTGCACATAAAACAGAATGCTCTGTACATGCAGCTAAAGCAAAGCAGATCCGGCGTGCTTATTTCTGCAAGAAGTTATTATCTATATGAGACGCTTGAAATGGAAATAAAGATAAGCATATTGATATGTGTCTGGCATTTTTGCAGAGTCGACATGTGCCAAATATTTCGATTTCGTTGGTTATGCAGGTCTTTTTCTTGGATGGTGCAGTTTAACAGTAACTGGCATGCCCAAGCTACAGTAAATTTCAGTTTAGCTTTTAAAATTAGGTGAGTAAAACCTTTGCGTTGTAAATAGCTCAAGCTGTTCTTTCCTTTTATTTTTAACTTATCAAGCACCACTTTCTAAATGAACATTTAATATGCTACAACCTAGACAAATATTTGGTCTCCTATTTAGCTGACTCTGAACAACGGAGCACCACCCAGTTTTCTCCTTCATCATTAGCATTCCCTTCCTGACTTGCCTATTGCAGAACCTAATTGAAATTCACAAAGATAAAAAACGTGCCATTTAAAACCTTGCAACTAGGGGATCTAAACTCGTCTTCTTCATGTGGATATTTCATTTCCTATGGTATATTTCTGTCCTTTTTTCATTTCCATGAATCAATCTTCATTAAGATCTCTATAATCCTTTTTATATTACTACCGAATAGTTTATACTATTTTGTTACTGGAAGATGAACAGCATACAATTTCTTTCCAACCATAAATACTGGGCTCCAACAATCTTAAAAATAAGTGTCATCTTAAAAAAAAAACTTCAAACAATATTTGCATACTCTACCCATTTTCCCTATGTTCTAATCCCGAATCATGAATTTTACCTTAAATTGATTTGTTTCAAGATGTGTATCCAGTTGACTACTTTATTCTAGAAGAAGCCACTCATTTCATTAGAGCTATTAAAATTGTAACCTCATGGCTAGCTGACATGAAACTTCACAAGGTCAAGCTTATTTTCACCTTTTGTGATTTTGAGTGATTTCTATTAAGTGTTAATAATAGTCCGTGTAATTGTGATATAGTTATTTTTTTTTGGGGGGGAGGACACCCAGCAGTGTTTAGGATCCACTCCTGACTGTGCTCATCACACTATCACCTGCTGGCTTGGGGATCATTCAGGGTGGCTGGGATTGAACCCAGATCAGACTCTGCAAGGCAACTATTTCAATCTACTAAACTATCTCTGGCCCCAGAATATAGATTTTCATGTGAACTAACTTGAAAATAAAATCTATATTAAGATTTTATTACAAAATTATGATTTCTCATCTAAGTGAAGCTCACTATAATTTTACTGAAATCATATCATTTCCACTTTAACTTTAAAGCACATTGAATCCAGAAAGACTGCACACAGTCAGCGGACTTTTAACTCTCTATACCAATCTTTCACAGTATTACTACTAGTTCATAAAATTTCCTTCTAAGATTGTCCAACTTCCCTAAACATATGAGAGTTCTAGCCTGATTTTTCTTTTTCCTCCCTGTGATGAAATACAGTGAGCTGTTAAGTGATTTGAGAGCCAGTCCTCTGTATGTCGTGACTAAGTTCTTACTACCCACTCCTTTGGACCATATCCTTAGAAAACCTCTTCTGTAGAAGAATTGAGAACTAATTCTGCCTATGTAAGGTCTGTGTGTGTGCATCGTGTATGTGTTGTGTGTAGTGTATCATGTCTGTAGGATTCTTCTTATAGAATGCTTCTTATATATATCATCCATCCCCAACATGTGGTTCCCTAAGAAAATTTCACATAGGACAAAAATGAAATATGAATAATTGGGGAATTTTTCTCAGACTTTTGTTTCCTGGTGTCTTACAATATTGCACAGTTTTAAAATTCAGTACAACATCGTTCATGCTTTGAACAGATCTTTTGGAGAGAATCTTTTTAGAATACAGCTATACGAAGACTTGGCATTACAGTTCCAATGAACTACTTCTCTATATTCCATAAGGAACATCATAAATATAATATATATCCAATTATATAAATCAGATACACAATAGCTATCTATTATATATATGTATATACACATGTACATATATATGCCATAGGTGGTATAAGCATTTTAATGAGGATAAATTTACATGACTTTTGCAAATGCATTTAGTCTCATTACTACATAATGTTAATAATTATTTTTAATATTTTAAGACAAATACTGAAATTACTGAGAATAAAATCTCACAGGGCAGAGTCTGGCAAACTCCCCGTGGCCTACCAAATATGCCAAATACCAGTAACAATGATGGGTCTCATTCTCCTAAAGAGCCTTGAATATAATCTCAGGGCTAGGATGAAAGAGACGTTACTGGGGCCTGCTCGAGGCAATCGACGAATAACAGGATGAAATGAAATGAAAAATCTCACTAGTTATGCATTTAGAAACACATAATAAATAATAAATAGATGCACAATTAGAATACATTTCTTTTTATGTGAGTCATTCCTTCAAACTAGACTATAACTGTGTGAAAACTTGGAATCAGAGAGATAACACAGGGGTAAGACATTTGCTTTGCCCACAACTGACCCAGGTTGAAACCCTGGCACCACAAATGCTCTCAGGGCACAGAGCCAGGAGTAAGACCTGAACACTGTTGATGTGTCCCAAAAATCAAAACGTAAAAACAACAAAAGTTATATAAAGCTAGAAAGTTAATCACAAAACATTCTTTTTCTCACAGAAATAAATAATATCCCCTGTACTTTTTCCTAGAGTGCATTGCTAATAAAAATATGTCTGAAGTGCAAGTCTGTTCTCACATCTTCATCACACTATCATTCAAAATCAAAAATTAGCAAGAACAAACAGCAATCTGGAAATTCTTAAGTTAAAAAATGTAGTTGGTCAAGCTCCGTTTTCCCCTGTGAATTAAAGATGGATACTACATTATGTCCAGTAGATTATAAGATTCTGGAAGAAGAAACAGCTGGAAAGTGGGAGTAACTACTTTCATAAACAAATACTTCCAGAAC